CGTTACCCCCTACCCCGTGACAGCTTTTTAAAAATTAAGATATAATTAGCATATGACATATTAGTTTCAGGTGAACAACATCATGATTCGAGATTTGCATATATTGTGAAATGATCACCATAGTAATTTTTTTGTGTGATGAGAACCTTTGCGATCTACACTCTTCACAACTTTCAAATATACAACATAGTATAGCACTGTAGTGACCATGCTGTACATTATATCCCTAAGATTTATATTCCAGATAGCTTTTTTAAAAATATATTTTTGTTGATTTCAGAGAGGAAGGGAGAGGGAGAGAGAGACAGAAACATCAATGATGAGAGAGAATCATGGATCAGCTGCCTCCTGCACACCCCACATCGGGGATGGAGCCCGCAACCTGGGCATATGCCCTCACCGGGAATCGAACCGTGACCTCCTGGTTCATACGTTGATGCTCAAGCCCGGCCGGGCCCGGACAGCTTTTAATGAAGAACTTGTCAGAGGGCAGAAGTCTGCAAATGATTGGCAGCTCTGTATTTAGAATAATGAATATGATATCAGATCATCTTAGCTAATTACTGTTTACTTGCAAATGTCATACACTGGCTTCTGAAGTGCGTGTGTGAGGCTGTGTCGTGTTTTGCTTTTGCATGTGTGAATGTTTGTGGGTGGGAAGCATGTGCACAAACCTGCACCCTGGGAACCTTCCTGACAATGGCTCAGCAGATGGTCCAAATGGCGGGTTCCCCATGGAGTTTACTAGTGTCCCAGTAGCATCCTGGTTAGAGCTCATCTTTTTCTCCAAACTGCAAGCTCCTGGATGCCTGGGACTGTGCCATTCATGTCTGTTTTCCCTGCAGAGTATAGTGCCTGGTACATAGCAGGAGTAAAATACATATTTGTTAAGTAGCCCTGGCCGGTTTGGCTCAATGGAGAGAGCGTCAACCCACAGACTGAAGGGTGAGGGTTTGATGCCAGTCAAGGGCCTGTACCTCGTTTGTAGGCTTGATCCCCCACTTCGGTCAGGGCACATGCAGGAGGCAACCAATCAATGTGTCTCTCTCACATCAATATTCCTCTCTCTCTCTGTCTCTCCTTCTCCTTGCCACACTCTCTTACAATCAATGGAAAAATATCCTCAGGTGAGGAATAACAAAAATAAATAAACAATATATATCTAAGTATATATACATATTTGTTAAGTAGAGACATAGATGAATTGGGAGTTGACTGTATGTGTGTCTATAAAACTATAATATAAATATACATAAACACACATACTTTTACTCTAATTCTTGGGACCAGCTTTCCATTTAGTCTGGCTGTTGAGCCATATATGGATGAGGGTTCCTTCCTTGGCGTAAGTTGTACTTTCAAAACAGTCCGTAAAAGCACCGTCCCAGAGAACTTGGATGATAAAAACATTCTATTCTGCATTGTTCAGTATGAGACCAATGGCTAGGGAGCATTTGAAGTGTGGGTAGTGTGAGTGAGGAATTTAATCTTTAATTTAAATAGCTACATATGGCTTAGCGGCTACTGTATTGGACAGCACTGGTTATAATCTTTTTTAAAAATATATTTTTTTTCAGAGAGGAAGGGAGAGGGAGAGAGAGATAGAAACATCAATGATGAGAGAGACTCATTGATCGGCTGCCTCCTGCACGTCCCCTACTGGGGATCCAGCCTATAACCCAGGCATGTGCCCTTGACCGGAATAGAACCCGGGACCTTTCAATCCGCAGGCTGACACTCTATCCACGGAGCCAAACTGGCTAGGCTGCGCTGGTTATAATCTGTTATCATTATGTGCTTTTCTAGATCATAGTCAACTGGTAGATCCTGGATGACACTTTTCGATGGTGCTTATTTTTGAAGCTAGAAGACTTTCCTAATAGTTTAATACCACCTTCTAAATAAACTAAAAAATATATGTCAAGCATCTGGTACTTGGCAATATTGCTAGGAGTGATAGACAATATGAAGTCCCTACCTCTGTGTTCTATCGAATAAGGAAATGGGTTAGGAGACCTGGGACATTAGAGACATAGACTACAGCCTTGGGCATGGCTACTCTTAAGATGAGTATGAAATCACTTGTTACTTATTCTGCAGGTGTTATGCCAAGGAAGCTCTGGTAAATAAAACGCATTATCACAGCCTCTACTTGATTTTTGGAGAACTCTCTTAAATGAACAATTATTCAGTGCGCATCAGGGCTGTGATACCTTTCACACGTCTTTGGAGGATTTTTTTCATTACTGAGCATCTTGTCCCCCACACCCCGCAGGTCTCTCCGAGGACAAGACACTGCACGGGGGTGGGGGGGGGGGTGGGGGGGGGCTGGAAATGTCAAGCGCATCTCACTCCCTGCCCTCAAGGAACTTAGACTAGCTCCGAGGATGCCTGTGGGAAGAGAGAGCTTGTGGGGTCATAATCACGTTCATCTCATTCTTGTGCAGAAGGGACTACATATCTTCTCCATGAGAGCATTGAAAGCATAAGAAGCAAAAACAATGAGTAACATTGGCATTAGATGTACTTCCAAGTGGTGAAATGTCCACTGGCAGATTTCACCCGTTTCTAAGAAGAGCAAACAGTAAGGTGATGGCGCTGTGAATATTTTTTCTTTCAAATGTTGCCCTAAGAAAGCCCAGCGTAATGGAGGAGCCCTGGGGTGGGAACTCCCTGGGCTGTAAAATGAGCGGATTGAAGATCTCCACGCTTCCTCCGGCTCAGAAAGTCTGCAGAGCTCCTGGAGAGAAAGCCATGGAACTTTCTATTCTTCATGTTTATTATTACAACTGACTTCACCTGCCAAGAACCATTATAAATTGTTATGTCGATAAACTTTATTTTTTCATAGTTTAATTTTTTCCGGTTAAATGGAAACTGTTTTCATATCACTAATATTTACTAATATAAATATAGGTAGTATCTAAGAACACATAAACTTAAAGGACCATCATAATAACTATACTGAAGCTCTCATTCACTAATTACCCAGTTTGTGAACAGGTAAGCATCCTATAGCTCTCGCCACATTGTTGAACAAGGGCACAGAATTTGAAAAGTTTAAATTCTAGTTTGTGACTTGTTTATAAGTCACGTTATATCCAAAGGACATTACTAGTATACCCAGGACATGACATCCAAAGGCTAAAATGAGTTTTTTGACATTACGTGGAGGTTCCTATTTTGGATGCTATGCCGTCTACCTCCATTAACTTGAACTGAGAATTACCAGTACTGTACATAGTCCATTCATTTCAATTAGAATCAATCATTTCATAGTGTTAATATTTCATCTTTATTCATGACTACATGGCAACATATAAAAATGTATATATATATATATATGTGAATCAGTAAAGTCATATTAACCTACGGGAGAGTTTACATATGTATTTTTCCAAATTTCAAATTAATATTGGGGCAGCATTATTTGCCAGTTAAGCACCAGTGTACCCAGTATAACTGGCCTCCTTAGAGCTAGTGGAACACGGGGAGATTTTTCTGGGTTTTAAGCTGTTCACCTCTATCCCAAAGCTAAATTCTGGCACCCCTATCTAAAACCTCAACAACACAACACACCTCAGCAAAGAGAAAAATTAAACTTCAAAGACACCAAAAAAAAACAAAACCCCAAACCCCACACATTTCTAGAGTGAGTCTATTTTTCTTTTTACAAAATCACAGCGCTTTATTTTTCACGAGCTTTTATTAGAGTGTCAGCATGACCGGGTCAAGAATGTTCCTGCGGGAGAACGCAGAGAATCCAGTGCACGGTTCGCAGGGCCTCATCCTCGGGGTCAGCTCCCGGGGCCTCCACCCGGCGGCCAGGTCCTGAGCTGGGGCCGGGGGCGTCTTGGGGGGCAGGGGGTGCGTCTGCTCGGTAGGCAGAGAGGACCCCGAAAGGCAATTCTGAGCCCGATTTCTGGGCTGTTAGCACTGGGGGTGCCGCTGCCCCGATGCTGAGTGTGGTTGGGGACCCGGCCGGCCCCCCAGCCCGCAGCAGGGGGAGAGGAACAGACAAAAGCAGGCCCTGCCCTCGCCCTTCCCCAGCTAAAGTCCACTCTGCCCGCAGGACTTAAAGACACTAAACCAGTGGTTCTCAACCTTCCTGATGCCGCGACCCTTTAGTACAGATCCTCACGTTGTGGGGACCCCCAAATATAACATTATTTCCGTTGCTACTTCCTAACTTTAATGTTGCTACTGTTATGAATCGTCATGTAAATATCTGAAATGCAGGATGTATTTTCATTGTTACAAATTGAACATAATTAAAGCATAGCGATTAATCACAAAAACAATATGTAATTATATATGTGTTTTCCGATGGTCTTAGGTGACCCCTGTGAAAGGGTCGTTCGACCCCCAAAGGGGTCGCGACCCACAGGTTGAGAACCGCTGTCCTAAACCAAATGGTAAGCGTGTAACAACTGCCCATTTGCGTTGCACAAATCAAAACTGAAAAAAAAACAAAACACATTTTAATAAGGCATTTGAAACCAATAGCTGGACGGGGCGAAGCTAAGATGGCAGGCGGAGGATGAGAGCCGTGAAATTGACACGCTGCGGGCGGAAGGCGGTCGGGCAAAAGCGGGCTCCGGCCGGAAGGGCAGAGACGGTCCGAGCGTCGCCACCAGAGAACCAGCGGGGCCCACGCGAGCCGCGGGGGGTCGGCCTGGGCGAGAAGCGGTTGGCGCTTCCTCCCTCTGCTCAGGACCGACCGGACCCGCCGCGCTGGGGGCCGGGACCCGGTCCGGGCGCGGGGGCG